GATAGGTATACCTGAATTAAGGGATAAAACATTATATGTTTTATATGGCAAGTGATGGTGTCTCTTCTGTAGGCTACAATTAATCAACAGCTCCGTGAAAGGATAATCTTCACAAAAGGCAAAGTCCCTCATCCAGCAGTTATGAACTTGCAAAAGGAATTTTGTCTTCAAACCCAAAATGTTAGATTAGATCTTAGCCAGAAGCTCTTCCCTGTGGGGGTGCTGAGGCGCTGGCACAGGGTGCCCAGAGAAGCTGTGGCTGCCCCATCCCTGGCAGTGTTCAAGGCCAGGTTGGACACAGGGGCTTGGAGCAACCTGCTCTAGTGGAAGGTGTCCCTGCCCAGGGCAGGGGTTGGAGCTGGAGGAGCTTTAAGGTCCTCTCCAACACAAACCAGTCTGGATTCTAGGACTGTATCTTTTTGAGAGTTTTATCAGTGCACCAACTGTTTGTGAGGTGAAGCAGAGGTTAGTGGGAGACTCAGGAGGTATAAAATGAGAAAGTGTGAGGAGGTAAAAATAAGCAGCTTTTAGCTTTTTGCTGGTAACAACACTGCATTCAGTAATGATTAAAGCTGCCCCATTATTTCACTGTTGTTCCACTATCTGATGAGTCTGGGTCTTTCCAGAAACGGAAATCACTGACTGAAATTTTCTTATTAGAAGTATGGAAATAATTCTTCTTGATAGAGATGCTTGTTCTGAACAAGTAACTTTATTTAATACAGCATATGATCTTACTTTGAATTGGGATTTCTCCTGTATCCCAGCATCAGTCAAGCAGAGAAGGCCTGTTAGAATTCAGTTGGCACCTTCTTAAATATAAAGCAAATCTTATCATGTGCCATTCAGCAGGTTTTTTTTTTTGGGAGGGTAATTTCTTTTTTAAACAATGCTGGAGCCCAATCTGCTTTTATTTCCCACTGAATTCTCTTAAATCTGTTCTGTTTAGGTTTGAATCATGAGTAAAGGAAGTATGTTCCTGACTTCATACAGTGTTGCCTCCAAAGCAGTAGCAATTGAAATGTGGCTAAATTTTAACTCATGAATGTGTTGTTATGGTGACACAAGTTCCTGTTGGCCTTCTCTAAAAGCTTAATGATGTACCTGAGATTATTTCACTGACACTTAACATTGCAGTAAAAGGTTTCTTTCTTTTTCAGATGGAGTCTAAATTTAACCACTTTATTATTAAGTCTCAATTTAAGTACTTTTACAGAAGGTTATTTTTATCATTAAAGTCTTTATTTTGGGGGGGAGTCAATGGAAAAATGTCTTTGTAGACACTTGGACTGTTATTCTTCTGCCTTTCAAAGCTTATTTGCGGAATCTGGAATCAACCTTAATGTGTAAAGCAAATATAAATGTAGTCCATCAAATGTAAGTTTGTAAGACCAAGTATATCTGGCTTTAAACATTTCCTGATGATAAATTCATTGCTAAGTCTTTTATATATGTAGTGTATGCACAGAACTTACTGTGTTAAGCTTAAAACATGTTTAAAGTATTCATGTTACAGTGATGTTTTCAGTATATTGGTATTTTCTCGACTGCTCTGGGAGAGCCTTCTCCTTCCTGCCTGAGGGTTGTGTTATAAACCTGTGCCACAAACCTGTCCAGGAGAGGACTATCTACAGCATGGCTTGGCAAGCCTTACTTCTCCCCAGAAAACACTTGCCTATGGTGCATAAACAAATTTCCTAGAACCCTGGGTCAAAGGAACAGTTTCATGTGGCTACAGAGCTAGCTTAGGCCTGAGTGCAATGAAGGCAATGCTCCAACTGTACTCGATGTAATGAGTAAAAGTGAAGTAAGGGTATATATGCTGAGCAACAAGAACAGAGTTCAGTTGAGCCAGTAAGGCAATAGCGAAACCAAAGTTACAGTAGCCTTAGTTGCTTTAAGAAGCTGAAACTGATGCCAGGAACATTACAAGCCAATGGATGAACTCATCCAGCGTATCAGGCTTCGGTACTATTTGAAAGCAATGAGTATCAAACAGTGAGTAGTGAGCAGCTTTGAAAGTGGTTTTGGCATGAGATTATGAAGGCTGGGCTTGGCATAAATCCATTTCAGGACACAATCTTATATTCAGCCTAGAGGTGCAGTAAATATAAACTTTCCAATTTAAGAAGTTAAAATAACTTTACACTTGTGTCACCTCCAAAAGCTAAACTTGCAAATTTTCTCTTGGTGAATGTTCAGAGAGCAGGAGGATGGAATAGAAGTGGCAGGAGGGCTGGTAGTAAAACCAACCTATTGGGATATCAGAAAGGTGTTGGCCACACATCAAAAACCTAATGGATTTCAAAGAGGGAAAGAAAGCCATAAAGTGTTTTTGACTTGGTGTTTATCTAGAGCAATTGCCAACAATAATTAGAGGAGAATGTGATCTTAGTAAGTACTGCTCAGATTTTCTTCCTTCAAACCACGTTTTCCTAGTTAAGTCTTAAGAAATACATTGTGCTTTCATGTTAGGAATCAAAACACAGATAAAAGTAATGAAGTCATTCTGAACTTTGCAAAGCAGGCTTCAAGTTGCACATACT